AAAAAAAAAAAAAAAAAGATTCATTAAAAACAAAGTATGAGATCGGTAGTTGAGTTCATATCTGCACAAAAATTGAAACAAAAAAACAAATTGAAGCAGAAAAGCAACTCGTATGTATTATGAAGCAACGTCGAAATCGACAACATGGATTGAGATCGTTATGTGACGCGAAGACATGTGCTTCGACTCTATGAAAACATACTGATGTCGATCTCCTTGAATTTGAACGAAGTTGCAGACATTTTATGGGGTGATTTCGAGAGTTTAGGGGCTAGGGCTTTTTCATGTGAATTTGAGGCAAAAATGGGACTAATCAGCTTATATGATGGATGATTTGCCTTCTGTCTGTTGAGTTAGACTTCTGTTAGATATCCAATGCCAAGTCCATTAAAAAAGATTTGCCACATCATCTTTCCGTAGACAGTGGTTAAATGTATGTAGCGAGTTGCCACGAAACCTAAATTGATGTATTAAATTGTCAAAGTGTGATTAAATGACCAACCGAGTAAAAGTGATGTATTTTTTTGCCAATTGGCTTAAACAAAAATATGAAATAGGTATTCATTTGTATTATAAATTTATTACCCATATAAAAGTTAATCTTTTTCATACAAAAATTATGTGTTCTAATTTCTATGAACACCACAAGTGCAATGTACATATTGTTCAAACAAATCGGCTATAGTGGAATAATAATAATCTATTACTATATAATTAGGCAACCCACTTACTAAAAATAGTAAGTTTTTTAGTGGGTCCCTCATTATATTACTATTTATGGAAAGTTAGTTTTACTTTTTTATTCTTTTATTAAACGTGCTTCAACCTCCGTTATTTTTTTTTTCATTTTTAATAATTTGTTAATAGTAAAAGTGGACTTAAATTTGTTATTACCATTTATAGATGGACATTTTAAAATATTTTGTCTGTTTTGATTTCTCATTAACAAAAAAATAAATTTCTTTTTACATGTACATGATATGTTGAATCACGGTGAATTATTTATGATGTATGCTAAATAATAATTTATATTTAAAGTCTTCCTAAAAATATGAAGATACTAGATAATAATATGATACTTATTTAAATAAAAGAATGGTTCACAAATAAAGAAATTATAAGTATATGTATAGAAAATAATAGTTAATAAATAAGATTACATTATAAATTATAAAACCAGACAAGTAAGAAATAATATATTCAAGTGTCAAAATACGATCTAAATTACATGATAAATTCAAACAAACTGTAATAAAATGTGTTAAGATAATAAAATAATTTGAGAATTTTCTTATACCCTAACTATATATATTTGCGCATTTAGAACATGATGTTCCAATTAAATCAATTTAGTTACTCAACTTTTCGTTTATCAATAAATTTTGTCCACATCGTTAGATTTCATAAAAAAACAAATAAATAAATAACGGTTTTAGAAAGAATTTCGTTAAATTCATGGAAAACTATATAAAAAAACTAAAAAAAAAAACTATATAAAAAAATTCGTTAATACTATGTCAATTTGTTCTATTAATAAAAAAAAAAATAAAGAATATATATATAGGAATCTACTTTTAGGTTTTTAATTATGAACTTTACATTGTTGCTTCTCGAGTTACAAATAAAAAGACACAAGATACTGATATATAATGAGACATAAAATATACAGATATAAACATTGTATATATATAGTAGTCTATTTTAATAGCATATAAAAATTATTTATTCTATTTATGTTTCCTTATTTCATTTATTTTTAATAGTTCCGTGCATTTGCACGGGCCAACGTACTAGTAATAATAATCACAAAACACAACATTATGCTTTAATTAAGAAAAATATAGTGCAATGCACATAAAGTGTCCCCACGTATATTCCGATCAAACACGCTTCCACTGTTCCACACCAAATATAAGCTACATTTTTTCTAAGCAAGAATGTTTTTCTTGTTACTAGCTAGCAAAGTAAATAAGTCGCCCGACTTCAATAAACCACAGGAAATGGCAAATTAACTCTAAAATCATTCTTCATTGCCACAATATACCAGGCAACTTAGTCACCTCATTCGAGGTAATAACTCCTACGTTACTGTACTCACAACTAAAAATCCATAAAGACCCACAAGGGAGATGCAGTACCTTCTCTAAGTCTAAACATTTCAGCACTTCTAAACGTGGCCTCCAAAGAAAGTATAAAAACTATACCACAAA